ACCTTTTTTCCAGTTCAAGTGACCTTTCAACAAAAATGACATTTTCAGCAAGAGCTGTGGGCCATTGGACGACAGTAATGGTACCAAATTACCGCCACAATTTTTTAGTGAGACTTGGCAATAAATAGTGAGATTTTTTCTCTGATTTAGTGAGAAATTCGTGAGACATTTAAAACATAAATTATACTGCATATAACATACATGTATCTATGTATAACTGGAGCAGGCAACCCGTGAACTTTGACCTCGTCAATGATCAGACCTTTTAATATCCAATGAGAACCAAGCGAACTCGTCATTAACCCTGCTTCGTACATGCTCGGGTTGTTCCGTCCTAGTGGGAATGATCCTCGTGTGTTAAGATCGATTATCAATTTTTAGATGGAAAATGTGAAGCATATCCGTAAGAAGAGATTCAGTGGGTTATTTATATACCTGGCAGTTTTACTAATGTTTTAGTATTCAATCTGATATGGACTAGAACCTCCTGCATCACGTAAACATAACACTACATTATACCGACATGAGGTGAGTACATTGTCTAATAAATACACTAATGTATACTGAACAGTGACCAGATGATTATAGAGTTTGGTTCATGTTTTATCAATACTGTTTCTATTTAACTCTGTTATAAACCTACTCCTATATAATCAATTGGTAAAGTCATTACACTATTAACAATTCGAGATGACACAAAACTTATCAAGGATTTGTTAACAGGATGTCGATCATGATAAGATATGTGTGGGGTAGCTGGAGTGATGTAGACGGTATCTGTCGTCACACACGCGCACTTACAGTTGGTTGTCACACTGATAAGGCGGTGTGCAGTAGGGTGGTTGATTACAAATCAGTTAATTGTTGTCTTTTCGCTACAACGAAATGGCACAAATCAGCAACCGTAATAACCAGCTAAACATAAGACAGGTAACACCAAAGTATCTTGTCGTGTATACAACAGGGATGAGGAAGCATTTATATATTGTCGTCTGTACACGACAACAGGGACCAGGAAGATTGTTGTCGTATGTGCAGGTCAACGTTAAGGAAAAAGTTTATGTCGGAGGATACCAAGTAATCCGGAGAAAACCCACGTAGTAGGGCAGGTGAAGTTCATACATTTTCACTCCCAATCTTGGAATCGAACCTCATTAGCCCTGGTGAAAGTTTTGTGAGGTCCCTAAAGCCTGATTCACACGGAGAAAAATGTGATTGGTTTTAAATACAAATGAATATACCCGAGGAATGTCCTAGGTTTTACACTGTCCTTTGGCATAACACTTTCTTAAGGTGGGTCTATCCTTCTAAAATTTAGCGCCACTGCGCAGGAAGCTGCGCATGTTGGCTAAATTTCAGAATGATTTACGGTAACCTAACGACACCACGCTTGTATTTAAAAAGTGTCATCGACAATTATTAACAACAATTAAGAACGTCAAAAAATGTGAAAACTATCCAGGGCCACCGTTTTTAGCTCCCCTGGCCCAAAGAGCCAAGTGAGCTTATGCCGTGGTGCGGCGTCCGTCGTCTGTCTGTCGTCAATATTTTACATTAAACAACTTCTTCTCAATAACCAAAAGACCCAGGGTACTTATATTGGGCCTGTAGCATGCTGTGATGAAGGACTACAAAGTTTGTTCAAATGAATGACCTTGACCAACTTTCAAGGTCATAGGGGTCAAATGTCTTCAAACAACATCAACAACTTCTTCTCAATAATCAAAAGGTCCAGGGTACTGAAATTTGGCCTGTAGCCTGTAGCCTGCTGGGACGAAGAACTACCAAGTAATCCAAAAACACTTGTATCCATTATGAAGGATACACTCAGACTGGGCTATTGAGAATCTTACCTGGTTATGATTAGTACTCACTCACATAGGTACATGTAAATTATCTGCAGTGTAGGGTAGGTAAAAAGGTTGTCGATGTGAACATTTTTTACTCAACTATTCTGTTTTGTTCGAGTTGGGAAGCATGCAGTAAGGCAGTTATTGCATGATGTCTCGTCACTCGGGACTTATTACACCCTCTCCTCGGTTGTAATAAATCCCTTGTTACTCGAAAACCATGAAATAGCCTTTACTTGCCCCCACTGGATGGGTGATCCCTGATTTAATTGCTTGACAGTACACACATCGGTAAGCAAGTCACCAAGCCATGCGCCGCTAAATCGGCCGGCCGGCCCATTCGCAACTTTCACACCTATGCTGCTAATTGGCCTGACCTGTAATTTAAGTGGCTGGCGTGTGACTTACGACCTCTCAGTGACCAAGGTCAGTGTGAATCCATGTAGCTATTGTTTATTCACTAAGATTTACAACATTTTGTTTCTTTTCAAACAATCAAACGTTATGTTATCGGTGATACCATTTCACTGTTATCAGGCCGTCTCGTGTATAGATAGTATATTCTATTGTACTGAAACAAAGACAGTAGTTGTCGATGGCACGCAGCTGCTAAGAACGCAAACAAATATAATGTCTGATGTCTCGTATTAATGTGAACATAGCGACATCGCTACTAAGAATAGTTTGATTCACTTGTACACTTGTATTTTGATAACCACGTCTTTTAGACACGAAAAGAAACGTACTTGCCCCATTCTAACACGCCTCAACAAATCTACTACGCTATTTATGTAAAGAAACATTGCAAGTACTCTGTGATCTGCGCTGTTTACGTGTCATTCTGCAGCGGACTGACCAATCAGAAGGAAGTTTTCAAAAGACTGACACTTGGACCCGCCCACACTGGCGAGCGCTTGATGGTTTATTCGTGAACGTTCTGTTACCAAAGTTGATACGACACATTTGGAATAACGTGAACTAAATTCTTAATTTTCATGTCTGTGTGCATGCCAATCTGTGCGTATCGACAAAATCGGAGATTTTATGTTAAAATCTGAAGAGGCGAGCTTCCTACCATATTTATTGTTTTGGTTAGAAACAGGGCGTGGCTTAATTGAGATGGGTGGCGCTTGACAGGATTGATCGTGTTTCGATCGCAGATTAGAACATGGTCCGTAACCATTCAAAACACGTTTTGAAAACGAATCGTGTTAGAATGTTTGATTCACTTGTATTTTAATCATACTGTACAAAAACACGTACCTGTGAGGTTTGGTTCACTGGTATTTTAATCATGCTGTAAAATAAAACACCTACTATGGGTACATTGATTCGCTGATCATGTTGTAAAATAAAACAAACGTTTCGTAAAACAAGGAAAACGTCCACTTTATGTTGGTGGCGTAGAACATAGGATTAATCTTGTGTTTAGTAACAGAAACGTCACTTTTAATGCATGCAGGTGCTTTTTACGATTCAGACTACCGGTAGCCGACGGCTACGTACGTCAAGGGTGAGCGCTCTGACCGAGCTCAGGTAAAATTGACTGATGCGAGCCGCTCCACTGCCGATGGGGTCTTCCCCGAACACCAACTCTGCTTAAAATCACATATTTTCTATATAAACACCTTCCTTGGAATTCTCCAGAGTTGGTGTTCGGGGAATGAGCCCTGCCGATATGGTAAGCCTGTCGCGGTAAGGGTCCACCAGTGTATGTAGCCGAATGTGTAACGCAGTTTACTTGCGACTAGAAAATAAACGTTTCAGGTTCGAATCCTCCTTCAGTGTTTTTTTAAAAAAATATTTAGGCATGTGATCATTTTCCTAAATAAGGCAATAGTGGTTTTTTTTAAATCGATGGAAAATTTTGTTTTCATTTTGATAACATACATGTACCTATTGATTTATCAGTTTTGTTAGTAATAATTTCTTTACTATTTAGTGCGACATACTTCTATCGAAGCATGTCACCAAATCCCTGTACACGTGTACAGTACAGCTACGCGTTGTAGGTAAGACTATTTTTGATGAAATTTATTAATTGTTTTACCCTCCAACTGGCAATAGTAATTATATCAAATGCTTAAACACCAACAAATAATGCCGAAATACAAAATACGTGGTCTGTGTACAATAATCTATTCTTAGACACGGGATTCCGATATTGCTACCTGTATAAAAATACCTTATGTTCTCCTTCGTTCCTTATCCGTACATAAATCATTTCGTATCTATTTAGCAATAATAACATAAACCAAACAATTGTTTTTACAATTTAATAGCCTGCGAGATTCGTGTACAGCAATATTTCATGTTTCACAAGATTCGCGCACTTGACGAAATTCAGGAATGTACTTCAGAGTCCACTCAATCAGTCCAATACACATTCCCGAACGCCACACTTAAAACACTGTCACTGGAATATGAATATATCTCAACCAACCGTGACTTCTACAAATACAAAAGTTACAATTAGCAAAGTACATACCAAATGAAATTACCCCCTTCAACCCACTCTACAGTATCTATTAAAGCTCAATGAATTATTACCTTATAATATATATATGTATATATACATACATATATATATTGTTATATATAAAAAAAAAAAAATAAATACACGTCCGTACTGCTGTGAACGATCTCGTCGAATGCTAATACACACTAAATGCACGTGCGAAGTGCTACACTACACCTGTAGCACGAATTTAAGAACTACACTACAAACGAAACGAAATTCATTTATGTTCTCCTTCGTTCCTCATCCGTACATAAATCATTTCGTATCTATTTAGCAATAATAACATAAACCAAACAATTGTTTTTACAATTTAATAGCCTGCGAGATTCGTGTACAGCAATATTTCATGTTTCACAAGATTCGCGCACTTGACGAAATTCAGGAATGTACTTCAGAGTCCACTCAATCAGTCCAATACACATTCCCGAACGCCACACTTAAAACACTGTCACTGGAATATGAATATATCTCAACCAACCGTGACTTCTACAAATACAAAAGTTACAATTAGCAAAGTACATACCAAATGAAATTACCCCCTTCAACCCACTCTACAGTATCTATTAAAGCTCAATGAATTATTACCTTATAATATATATATGTATATATACATACATATATATATTGTTATATATAAAAAATAAAAAATAAATACACGTCCGTACTGCTGTGAACGATCTCGTCGAATGCTAATACACACTAAATGCACGTGCGAAGTGCTACACTACACCTGTAGCACGAATTTAAGAACTACACTACAAACGAAACGAAATTCATTTATGTTCTCCTTCGTTCCTCATCCGTACATAAATCATTTCGTATCTATTTAGCAATAATAACATAAACCAAACAATTGTTTTTACAATTTAATAGCCTGCGAGATTCGTGTACAGCAATATTTCATGTTTCACAAGATTCGCGCACTTGACGAAATTCAGGAATGTACTTCAGAGTCCACTCAATCAGTCCAATACACATTCCCGAACGCCACACTTAAAACACTGTCACTGGAATATGAATATATCTCAACCAACCGTGACTTCTACAAATACAAAAGTTACAATTAGCAAAGTACATACCAAATGAAATTACCCCCTTCAACCCACTCTACAGTATCTATTAAAGCTCAATGAATTATTACCTTATAATATATATATGTATATATACATACATATATATATTGTTATATATAAAAAAAAAAAAAAAAATACACGTCCGTACTGCTGTGAACGATCTCGTCGAATGCTAATACACACTAAATGCACGTGCGAAGTGCTACACTACACCTGTAGCACGAATTTAAGAACTACACTACAAACGAAACGAAATTCATTTATGTTCTCCTTCGTTCCTCATCCGTACATAAATCATTTCGTATCTATTTAGCAATAATAACATAAACCAAACAATTGTTTTTACAATTTAATAGCCTGCGAGATTCGTGTACAGCAATATTTCGAACATCAAAGGAATAAAATTTTAAATGCCAAGATTAGCGGAAACAGAAATTTTATGATCAAGATCATCCAAAACATAACCATCCTTTGCTTTCTCGCTGGCCCATCTGCCATGTGCTTTAAATAATCTCTCTGAAATGCCATTGTTAGCGGCTATAGTGGCGCCACCAGCCCTCAAGCTATGTAGACCAAATTCTGACTTTTTTAGTCCAATTTCCGAAATTGCGCCCAGAAAAATCTCTCTAACTCTAGTGTAAGAAAGAGCTTGATTTCGACTACATAACTTATATGTTCCTGTAGATTTACAAAAGGAAACAGCTCTGAAAATGTATGAATCTGCACCAAAACTTAACCCGGCAGCTGTAATGTATTTCACAAAACAAGCAACTGGACAAGTTTTCTTCCCTGTTTTCGCAATCACCACAACATTGCCTTGACGATAGACATCTGTTTTGCTATGAACAAGTGTAATTTCAAGGTGTGAACTTTTCAAAACGCAATTTGACATTTTTAAATCGACTAGTTCACTGAATCTGAAAAACCCTGCAAATCCTAAAATGCACAAAGTGCATAACCGTAAATCCTTAACGTTTTCCGAGTTTCCGTACTTTCTAAAAATGGACTCTATATGTTCCACAGAAATGGGAGATTTTTTAAAAATAGGCTTAGAAAGAATACGTTTAGCTCCTTCTAAAGATTTTAAAACAAACTTGTCTGTACATGGATTAGGCAAATCTGCGAAATCATGTTGCCACTTTATGCTATAGAAATGTGAATTAAGGGTAGATACCGAGACTGACTGTTGAACCAAATAAGACAAATATACGGCTACTGTACTACTTCTAGAGGGCAGATATCCCAGGCCTGTAATACGACACCAATCTTTAAATTTAGCGAAATTCGAACAGTATTGCTTGTCTGTAGAAGAAGCATGGCTGGCCTTTAACACAGATTCCAATTTAGATGCTGCTTCACAAAGCAAAGGATGGCCTTTCATATCCTCAACCTCTGACCAAACTGGCCCTAATAACACAGTGTTCTGTAAAAAAAAAAAAGAAAAAAAAAGAAAAAAAAAGTAAAAAAAAAAAAATATTAACATTAAGATCCAACACAATCTGAAACTTAGCTTACTAACGTTGTGGATTGTTTATATCTTTTCAAAAATTATTAACCCAGTAAACCCTCATAACTCCGCTAATTAATGAAACTGCAAAATGTGCTAACAATTGTCTAGTTGTAATGTTACATTAATCCGATAACCACCGAATACACAAAACTAAAAAATGCCAGTGTAACACAACGGTGATAACCACCTATTACACTAAATAAATTTACACTGAAGTGATAACCACTGGTTTATACAACCATGACGGTACATAAAGGTGATAACCACCTATTACACTAAATAAATTTACACTGAAGTGATAACCACTGGTTTATACAACCATGACGGTACATAAAGGTGATAACCACCTATTACACTAAATAAATTTACACTGAAGTGATAACCACTGGTTTATACAACCATGACGGTACATAAAGGTGATAACCACCTATTACACTAAATAAATTTACACTGAAGTGATAACCACTGGTTTATACAACCATGACGGTACATAAAGGTGATAACCACCTATTACACTAAATAAATTTACACTGAAGTGATAACCACTGGTTTATACAACCATGACGGTACATAAAGGTGATAACCACCTATTACACTAAATAAATTTACACTGAAGTGACAACCACTGGTTTATACAACCATAACTGTACATAAAGATGATAACCACCTATTACACTTAATAATTTTACACTGAAGTGATAATCATTGACTATAGTAACCTAACGTTACACAAAATCTATAGTAATGTGAATGTATAAAACTGTACGGGTACTCGACGCCGCAGATAATATGTCTACCGACAATCTATTCTTAAAACACACACGTTGGAATGGAAGACTTTCTCTGCAAAAATACTTTCAGAGTGGGAACCTGCACGGAAAAAAATGGCGGGTTTTACAAAATAAGCACATTCCATAACAAACGGCTTGAATGATTTACCACCCCTGAATGACAACAAAGGCCAAAAGGCCGCCGATGGCCAATGAGGCACGACCAAAGTCCCGTGCGCTCTACGCCTCAGGAAATGATTGACAGTTCTAGCGATAAGGTAAATGGGTGGAACCGCCCAGCAGTTAAATTTGGACCAATCAAAATCAAACGCATTTACTCCAGCTGAACCTACGCAAGCGTACTTTGAAAAGAAACACGTGACTTTTTTGTTGTTGTTATCTGCGAAAAGATCACAGGTGTATTCGCCCCATATTCTATCAAAATACAAAAATGTACTCTCTTCTACTGCCCAATCGTCAAAATCAAAGATCTTACTAAACTGATCAGCTAAAACATTAGATCCCCTGGGAATCCATTGTATAGACAAAGACACGTTATTTGATTTGAGGAATTCGAACACGCTCACTGCCATCCTGTGTAAGTGAATACACATGCTTCCCTTCTCTAATATACGGGGCACATTCTGATTATCGGTGCAAAGTAACACCGATTTATTGGCCAAAATTTGTCCAAAACTTAATAAAGTGTGCTCTACTGCTTTAATTTCTCGCCAAGTAGAACTTTGCCCGGACTCATCTTTATTCCACATGACGTGAGAGATGTGCTCGTTTAGCTCAACACAGTAGCCTGCGCCCGCGATAGCGCTAGCGTCAGTAAAGATATGAAGATCGTGGTCAACTGCGTGTGTGTTAAGGTTGAATATACTCGGAGGTAAACTAAGGACATTTAGCTCCCAAAATTGCAACTCATGCAAAGCTTGATCTGACAGGCACATCGGCGAATCCCAAGAGGTACGGTGACATATACACTTGTGTAACTCCCTCGTATGAAAATTACATACGCGTCCCAGGTTAAGCGACACGGAAATGACCTTACCTGTAAAAACAGCTACGGCACGCGCGGATACTGCGCTCGTCTCACCGATGAGCTCATTAGCCAAGTTTTTAATCTCAGATCTTTTACAGACACTTATTTCTATTACACCGCCTACAAAGTCCCATATGAAACCTAGCCACTCTAATTTCTGTACTGGCGTCCAGACGCTTTTCTCATGATTCTGTGCGAAACCAGCGGACAACAAATCGGAACGAACCATATCAGATAAAGTTTTCGCATCAGAAATTGACTGGGCAACTCCTAAACCGTCGTCAAGGTAAACGATCATCATGTGACCTTCCGACCGCCACTTTTTGACTAGAGGCCTCAACATTTTCGTAAAAATATATGGCGCCGAAGACAAGCCAAACGGTAAACATTTGAAAACGAAATTTTTCACTTTATTTCCAACTGTCCAAGAAAACCCCAAAAACTTTATGTGATCTGGATGCATTTCAATATGGTGATATCCTGACTTTAAATCAAATTTAAATCCGAAAAACCCCTGTTGTACGTATTCTAGTGCTTCTCTGCTACCCTCTAGTTAAACTTTTGTTTTGCTACATACTGATTGACGTATCTTAGATCTAAAATAAGTCTTTTTTTGCCCTTACTGTTAACAGAAACCGACAGTGGGTTAATTACGTAGGGAGGCGACACACACTCATCTACTACACCGCTCGCGAGCAATTCAGAAATAGCGTCACTGACAAAAGTACTATGCGTAAGCGCCGACTTATTATTTTTCCAGGTTTTTAGGTTCCACAATAAACGGAATTAAATACCCATATTCAACTACACTACAGACATAATCCCTAGCTTTTAGACATGTTTTCCAAAACTTCGGACAAGATTTGAGACTGCCTTTAACAAATCCATTTTGATTTACAAACGTATATTTTACAGATACGACTTCATTCAAATGATAGCTTACCATCTTCTGATCTTCATTGTTTGATTGCGGGGACACTCTGGGTGTGGGTTGGGGTGGTTCTGACTCTCCTCGGGCAGTTGCTGGCCCAGTGTCCGGCCCCGTAGCAGTAGAAACAGGTCGAGTTTTGTTTGTTGACCGGTCCTGCTGAGGAGGGATGGAAACCCCCGGGCGCTCCAGGCATACTTCCGTTAACCGCTCCTCTTTGGGCGTAGAAAGGGAACTCTCCCATTTCTCCAGTACTTTGAAAGCCTCGAAAAAGATCGACGTTCCCCGTGTTGCCTCCGCTTCCCCGCCCAAGACCTGGACGTTCATACGGCTTATTCGTATTACGGCTAGCAGATTTTGCCTTCCGTTTCCTCTGTGCTCTGGCCTCAGCCTGACGCAACTTAGAAGAATCATCAGCGTTGTCACAAATAAGGTCATCTTCGTACTCAGCAACCGTGTCCCAACCATGACGGTCCGCTATCTTAACGCTATCCTCTCGTCTAAATGAGCGAGACAAATCGTGAGCGTCGACTCTGCTAATTCGCTATTATCGTCTTTAATAGCTTGAATAGCTTTGGAAATGTCCAGTCTTATCTCAGAGTTAAAGACAAACTGTTTACGGTTCCCTTCAAATTTAAATTTAAAGTCTGACTTATTCGCTGCCAAAAGTTTCTCCTGACTTTGAAGTTTTTTGTCAATGTCGGACGAAATGAGGGAACGTCGAGAATTCAGTGCGATATCCAGCCTAGAGCTAAAAAGGGACAGGGCATCAGCAGTGGAAAGGTTCACCGTAGAATCCTGCCTGGTACATGTAGGCTCAGTTGAGCTACCATCTATGTCAATGTTCATTTTGTTTTAGTCATACAGTGTACAGGTAAAATACACGTCCGTACTGCTGTGAACGATCTCGTCGAATGCTAATACACACTAAATGCACGTGCGAAGTGCTACACTACACCTGTAGCACGAATTTAAGAACTACACTACAAACGAAACGAAATTCATTGAGGACGCGTCTAACAGTGCACTGTTGGTGCGCGCACTAGCGTAACATAGCTTTGGGGAAATAGGCATAGCAACCCGCCATATCTCTTTGTTGCATTAGATGAAACTTTTTTCAATCTATTGTACAAACAGATATAGCATTGAAATTCCACAGTTTTAGTTGTAAAAATCTAGAGGTAATATCACAATTTCGAATCAAATATCAACAGAAACGATCCCCAAATGGAAGAATATAGAAGAACTGAATAAAAAAGTTGACGTTCTACAATAAATGCAGAAAACCCCCAGAAGTAGTGATACAGAAAAGTCCCCAATTTGACCCTTTGAAACACGTTACGTTTTCCCTTTGGAAAGTTGTCGCTTTTTTATCATGTGTATCTATGTATAAATGGAGCAGGCAACCCGTGAACTTTGACCACGTCAATGATCAGACCTTTTAATATCCAATGAGAACCAAGCGAACTCGTCATTAACCCTGCTTCGTACATGCTCGGGTTGTTCCGTCCTAGTGGGAATGATCCTCGTGTGTTAAGATCGATTATCAATTTTTAGATGGAAAATGTGAAGCATATCCGTAAGAAGAGATTCAGTGGGTTATTCATATACCTGGCAGTTTTACTAATGTTTTAGTATTCAATCTGATATGGCCTAGGACCTCCTGCATCACGTAAACATAACACTACATTATACCGACATGAGGTGAGTACATTGTCGAACACACTAATGTATACTGAACAGTTACGGGATGATTATAGAGTTTGGTTCATGTTTTATCAATGCTGTTTCTATTTAACTCTGTTATAAACCTACTCCTATATAATCAATTGGTAAAGTCATTACACTATTAACAATTCGAGATGACACAAAACTTATCAAGGATTTGTTAACGGGATGTAGATCATGATAAGATATGTGTGGGGTGTTGCATATGTGTATGGAAACTATAAATAGACAGGTTCACTTCCAGTCCTGTCTTTACTTGTGCCGAGTAAAATGTATACGTCAGTTGTGGTGACGTCATGGTTTTTGTTGTACACAATAAAAATGTAGTTTGGTCTGATCAGCGTTATCATTATTAAACATGGTCTCAGAATGGTGAATTTAAGCAACACAGAGCCAAACAGAAGCCTTCGATAGCTGCCAAACAGAAACAAGAGACTCAGTCTAGCGCCTGCAAGTACTGTGAGTGTTTGACAATTTCGAAGTACGTTTGTAAACGTGTTTATCACCCGTACCCCTCGCCTCGTACGATTGTCATTTGAGCGGGAATAAGAGATGGCGGCATCTAAGGGAACCCCACCCCCTGCGGCAATGGTTATGAAAGGGGATCTAAGGACAAACTGGAAGTGTTTTGCGGCACAGTGGTATAATTTTGAGACAGCCACAGAACTAACTGGTAAAGATGAAAAGATCAGAGTAGCTACACTGCTGTCGGTGATGGGGAAAGAGTGCTTTCAAATTTTCCAACACCTGGACATTACGACAGAGAATAGAAAGGAAATAGCGCGGGTACTCGAAGCCTTACAAAGACATTTCGAACCGAAGACAAATGTCATATACGAACGTTATGTATTTAACACAGCCGATCAGCTGCCTAACGAAAACAGTGACACTTACATCACAAGGTTTAGAGGCCTAGCAGAATCCTGTAATTTTGGGTCACTCCTAGACGAAATGCTTTGAGATCGATTAGTTCTAGGGACTAAGGATGTAGCAGCCCGATCGCGCATGCTACGGGAGCCAGAACTGACGCTCACAAAAGCGGTGACTGTGTGTAGGACTAGCGAAATGACCGACATACAGATGAAAAGGTTTAACCATGAAGACAAAGTACATGCTGTGGATAAACACAAGAGTTACAGAAAGAAATCAGAACACAGCCAGAAGGGCAAGGATTTCAGTCAGAAGAGCTGGAGAGAGAGAAAACAATACAAACCAGCAAAACAGAGCTACAAAGGATGCAAATATTGCGGAGGTCAACACGCCCCAGATAAGCATAAATGCCCAGCATTTGGTCAAACCTGCTATAACTGTAAGAAACAGAACCATTTCTCAAAAATGTGTTTAATGAAGAAAATACATGCAGTTGAAGACGATGATACCGATGAATCTTTATTCAGGATCACAGAAACACTCCTTAATGTGACAAAGACAAAGGGTAGACAATATTTCACAACACTGAGGATGACATTAGGAAACAAGAACAGAAAGGTGAGATGTCAGCTCGACACAGGAGCAACCTGCAACCTGCTAAGCATGAGAGTATTCCAGCTCTTAAATAATAAAGGAGTCACTCCGCTGAGTCACTCCGATACATAACTGTCACTATACGACAAGTCTCACATTTACCCTAAAGGTAAAACTAGGATTGAGTGTTCGGTTGGAGACAATCAACAGACCTTAGAATTCCAAGTGGTGGATGTTGACCAACCAACAATACTGTCAGGAGACGCATGTGAAGCTTCGGGACTCTTAACTATCAATCAAGTATACTGCGTAGTGGCTAATGAGAAACTGCCCGTTACCAAAGAACAAATCTTTGAGAACTACACGGACCTATTTGATGGATTGGGTAAGCTACCTGGAGAGTACCATGTTGAGGTTGACCCAACAGCGAGACCAGTACAGAACTGTCCCAGAAGCCATGAAAGCAGACCTCAAGACAGAGATAAACAGACTGTTAGACCGAGGTGTCATCACAAAGGTCACTGAACCGACGGAGTGGATAAGCAGCATGGTAGCAGTAAGAAAACCGTCGGGAAAACTGCGCATATGTATAGATCCGCAGAACCTTAATGATGCAATTAAGCGCCCACACTACCCCATGAGTACTTTAAAGGACATACTTCCTAAGCTGTCCAATGCCAAGGTTTTTACAGTCTTGGACGCAAAAGATGGATTTTGGCAGGTGGCATTAGACAAACAAAGCAGCTACCTGACCACTTTCTGGACACCTTTTGGGCGCTACAGATGGTTGCGAATGCCATTTGGCATTAAGTCGACCCCAGAGGAGTTCCAGAGATGACAACATGAATCACTAGAGGACCTGATGGGGACAGAGGTCATAGTAGATGACATCCTCATTTATGATAGTGGTTCAACAATCGAGGAAGCAGTACAAGACCACGATAGGAACTTGATAAACGTCTTGGAGAGAGCAAAGAAAGTTGGCCTGAAATTCAATAAAGACAAAATAAACTTGCGAAAAACCGAAGTGAAATACATGGGTCATTTGTTGACCTCAGACGGGGTCAAGCCGGACCCGGTGAAAGTGAAAGCGATCACAGACATGCCTAGACCAACAGATGTCAAAGGAGTACAGCGCTTTGTCGGTTTCGTCACATACCTCGCCAAGTTTGTTCCACACTTGTCGGAGATGATCGAGCCATTGAGACGACTCACAGCAAAAGATACAGAATGGGCATGGCAATCCCAACAAGAGGATTCGTTTCAGAAAGTCAAGGAAGCAATGACAACACAGCCAGTACTAAAGTACTACGACCTTCACAAAGAGGTTAGCATCCAGTGTGATGCCAGTGAAGTTGGTTTGGGTGCAGCCCGGTTGCAGGAAGGACTACCAGTTGTTTATGCATCCAGAGCTCTGTCTCAAACAGAGCAACGATATGCACAGATAGAAAAAGAATGCTTAGCCATAGTGTTCGCCTGTGAAAGATTTGAAAAATATATCCTAGGACGCGAGATCACCGTCCATTCTGATCACAAACCACTGGAGGTTATATTCAAGAAATCGGTGCTAGCAGCTCCAAAGCGCCTCCAGCGCATGCTCTTAAGGCTACAGAAGTTCAACATAAGAGTTGAATATCAGAAAGGAACTGAAATGTATGTGGCAGATACCTTGTCAAGAGCATTCCTACCACTGGTCAAGTCAGACAGTGTCCATGGAACAGATGAACAGATATTCAATGTGTCCACCTCAAAGTTTGAAGAACAGCTGGAGGATATTGATGTGAAGGAATCGCTCAATGTCAGCGAGCAGCGTCTCGATCAGATACAAAAGCTGACAGCTCAAGATGAAGCCTTACAGACCTTGAAATCCGTAATTTTGTCAGGCTGGCCAGAAACAAAGACAGAAGAACCAGTTACATGCCTAGACTACTGGAACTTTCGCGATGAACTGACAATTCACAACGGAATACTCTTCAAAGGAAATCGCGTTATCATTCCAAAGCTTTTGAGGCCAGAAATGTTGACGAGGATATATTTTAGTCATCTTGGGATCGCGTCATCCTTGAGGAAGGCTCGCGACTCCCTATTTTGGCCCAACATGTTTCAGGACATTCGCGAACACATTCAGGGATGTGATGCTTGCCCTGAACTTGAAAGTCATCAAGCCCGGGAACCTCTCATCACACACGACATCCCAGTTTAAAAAACAAAAACAAC